AGGTGCACACCCACCCACACGCTCCCTCACACATATGCACAAGCACTCTCACAGGACCAATAGTCTTTCATCAGATGCTATCATTTCAACAGTCCACATGTCAAAAAGAAGTTATCTCCTAGAACAGATCATAGTAGCGCACTAATATGCAAAACTTCTTAATCACAGTTTCTCTTTTGATTCTTGATAAAAGATTCCAAATAAACTTTTTGAGAATTAGATTTTTGTTATAGTTTTATTTTACTCATACTCTCTTTTGATTCTGAATTATGAGACCTTGTATATGTAAAAGTGGAGGGTGCCACCAAATGTTGTGGTTGTGTTTGTCTTCAAATGTCAGTTATGATGGTGGATGATAACATGATGTAGATCTCATCATCTCTGTAACCCCTGGTCCAATATTTTGACTTTTGATTTTAAATTAAAGGTAATAAAGTATTCTTTAAGAAATGCCGTTACACATTTTTTATAGGTTATATTGCTTTAGAGTTACTGTGGATTTTTCGAACATGTAAAGTGGGAAGTTGTTCTGGAAGTACAAAAGGGTCATATTAAGACATTTTGGAAAAGTGTCCCATGTGACTTTCTTGGGTTTTGATGAAATATTATGAGCCAAGTTCCACAAGTTTCAAAGGAACTTTTGTGAATTAGGGCAATCTACATAAAAAATTACAAAGATAACTGCTATTAGAAAAAACCTAACAAAAAAGGTAAACAGGCTGATCTTTTTGAAGTTGTAGTTCTACAGGTGAATTAGGTTTTGAAGCACCTTTGATCTTTGCCAGTCATTACTCTCCCAACTGACGTTTCGCGTCTCCAGTAGACCCTAAAACATCATCAGCCCTTTCTTTTACAGTATTACTGTAAGACCCATATATCTAATAACTTTCTCTCCTGAAGCAGTTTCCCGAGTAATTTCTATTCCAGCTCTTCCACCAAAACTGGAAAAGTGAAGCCTTTGAGAAGGGCCAATTACTTTTGGATTAGCTGCTTGCAGGTGAAGCTGTCAATGCAACCACATATTGTGGAGCCCTAAACTTAAATCAGCCAGCAATAGTAAGTGACCTGACAGGTTGTTAAATGGCATTACTGTGTTACATGACAACACATGCCCTCATGTCGTTCAGGTGTGCTGAGACATTTCTATTAGTTATTCGACCACTCTCCTATATATTTATTTGCTAACCAGAATCGTTTAGTAACTTCACTTTGATGGGCTGAGTACCATCACAAAAGTGCCCTAGCCATCCAAATTATATGATAAAAAATTATACTCATCCCATTTTACAATATGGTAGGAAAGTTGAACTGATTTTCAAAGAGAAATTTCAAGTTATCCAAGTACTGATGTCATAAGTACCTGGCCTGCATCTCATAGTAGTGTAAATGTATCAATAACATGACTCATTCACTCCTTAATGTAACAGAAGGTTGAGATACATTAACACTGGTCTCATTACTGAATTATAGTGTTACAGAAATCAAGATTAAAGGGAAATTCAGATTCTAGGAAGAAAAAAAACATACACACACACCACACAATGGATACTGGATGAATGTAGAAGTTTTTCTTGTGGATCCTAATTCAAAAACTTTACAGGATTTGTGGGAGTCATGAAATGTCATCAAGTACAGTAATTTCAAGGGAGATTGCCTCTTACACAGCCATGTAGGTTTGTAAACTGCCTTATCTACCATTAAAACAATGTCTTTTACTACACCTAATGTTAATTGAAATATTTACTTCCCAACATCACAGCTCTTTTGAACAATTATTTAATAATATATCAATTTCTTTTTTACTTGTATGGTGTAGGAATTGTAGGATACTTCTGGTTAAAGCAGAAATCTTTTGCATTAATGGATGAAACTGGGATGTAATCTTTAATATCAGATGTTCCAACATCACCATTTTCTGAATGTGAGCTATTACCAGGTTCTTCACTCTCTTGAACGATCAGTTCATGGACCTAAAATACAAAGAATTGTTGAGTATCTCTGTTATTGTTTTGAACAAACAATTGTAGAGCATGTCACACAATTAACATTACTTTACCTGCATCATATGAGATTTGCAGGCATTAATGCTATTAAATCCTGCACTGCATTGACCACACAAAAATACCAGCTTTTCACTCACAATATCTAAAAACAAAAATGATACATAATATAATTCAATGAAAAAATAAAATACACTATAAAGCATTATATGAAGACAATATTTTAAGAGCGGCAAGCACTTGACATATATTAATTATTAGGCATCTACAAAGGACTTAATTGTTCATTTAATGGTTCTCAGAACACTGGTTACTCTACAAAATTAAATATCATTTAGGCTTGTATTTCTAATAAAAAATTGAGAAAGAAATATCTTCTGTTGTGAATTGTTCCTGTACCAGCAATACCTGCACACAGTTCAATATTTTAAGCATGGTTTCATTTCTTTTCACAAATGAGAGAATGGCGATAAATATATGAAAGTAACAGAAGTTAACACTGCTTGATTCATGGTACTGGCTTCAGATCTAGATGGACTAATAGATCAATCCAAAGATACAGTTTGATGAAGATACTGAAAATTGAGTTGCACAAACATCTTGGTCTTTTATTAATGATCTTGAATGGCCCCAAATTACTAACTCAGTTAAACAGGAGTTGGAAGCTTCGGAACCTGCCAGCAATGGGATTTGTTTTCTACTGGAAGGTCTGGGTTGTGGCAAATGAGGTAATTAGACAAAGAAAGGAGCAGAGGAGCAGGGGTGCAGGGGAGCAGGGGAGCAGGGGAGCAGGGGAGCAGGGGAGCAGGGGAGCAGGGGAGCAGGGGAGCAGGGAAGCCGGAGGAGCAAAATAAAAGAAGCCTTGCAGAAGAAAAAATGAAATTATATTGTCAATTCAGTTCATTGTATTGAAAGTGCAATATTTGGAGTTGTGCTAGAAGTAGCAGTTGGGAGTATCGTCATTGCAATTAATATATCTTGCTCATCGTTTAGGTACTGAAAAAGACTCAAGGTGGCACCACTCTGTCAACAGACAGGAAATTTTTTGATGTCAAGTGTATAACAAACAAATCCAAGGGAAAATAATGTTTAATGAAATGAATTAGTGAATCCTTTCTAGCATATGGATGACTGATTTTCATGCCTTTTTTTTTGCATTCTGGGTTTCATGTGTCCATAAATCACAAACTACACAGCATACCAAAATGATTGTATCCCTTTGGAATGGAGTAATGCACGAGTCTAGAGCAAACATTCAGGTTATTAAAGTAGATTTTGTTATGGATATTCAATATCGTGTAGGAATAAGCTGGAAAAAATTCAACTTCTGCAATATTCGAAACTTCAGATTTCAACAAAAAATTTGGAACCATTTTTTAAAAATACTTTGACAATGTTGAGACTTCACGAATAAGTAACCCCCACCCCTCAGAAAAATTCAAAATATCCATGTCAAATTCACAGGGCCTTGTGATCGCTTTCAGATCGATCGAATAATATCAATTTTGAAGAAAATCGTCCGAATGGTTTAAGCGCTAGCGTCGACCACAGCCTTTTGCCGTCAATCAAAATGTTTTTGGTATCATGAACCCCAAAACAACGTAATTAGAGGAGGTAATTTATTACATATAAAACTAGAATTATCCAGTTTATCGACACCAGGGTCTCACAATACGTGTTTTCTATGGAAAGTCACTCTCACTGGTCGCAGAATTACAATCTTTCCCTTTACTGCGTAAATATGTAGCAAAGAGAAAGTAAAAAACATGGACATACAGACAAGTTAGTCAAGAGTGTCAAGAGCGTACGAAATATTCGTGCGGAAGTCACGAGCTAGCCTGAGAGGGAGACGGTCATCCAAATGGGAGCTCCAATACCAAAAATTTAAATCGTAACGAAACTCCCGATTGGATGTCAATGTCCCTCTCTCCTTCCAGCTCGTGACCTTGAAGCACCACTATGTTTAAATCTGAGTAAACTCTGTTACGTTTAAAATATAAGCAGTCGACGTAAAACAGCTGTGAAAAGAGAGACCACTCAGAAGCTTCAAACTTGACGTTTATGTGACATCAAAATTTGAAGCTTGCGATTGGCCCCTCTACTTACAGCTCTTTTACGTCAAATCCAACTCCTGAACTCAACGCAACCCGCCGCAAAATTAAGGATTAAGAGCGTTATCACTGCATACAATTGTGAAATATCGGCGGAAATTATTATTTGAATCTCGGACAAGTAAATCAAATTTCTCCAAGTTAGTATCATAGCAAACGCATGCCTAAATTTCAGGGAGAACGTTTTAACGATAGGATATTTGACAACCATATCCAAACCAGACAATAACTTTAATAACGTGTCCAGTAATGTGAGATATGTAATATAATCCAATAGCGAAGCATTGCCGGGTCCAGTAGTTGAACATGAAGGCTAGTCGTCGCAGGTCGAAGACTCTCACCAAATTCCTCATGAGAGCGTGAGTCACGTGGCAAAATGGGTCGCAGTTCTTCTCTCACTACGCAGTTCACTCTGATACGAGCGCTGTCGCAAATGTCGAGTATTTACGTGAAGTTTGTGGATTTGATAAGATTTTGAAAGCGTACTCGAGTTAAGAACGTCATGTTATGCCGTTCTGTTGGAGCAAAAATAGAAAAGAAGAGATAATACGAAAAAAAGAGAATTCGATGATGAATGGAGAATTTGGTCTACGGAATTTAATGATAACAAATTTCAGAACTATTTTAGATTAAACAGTGATCATTTCAAAGACGTGCATGATCTGATCAAAACGAAATTTGCAGAGGGCTGCAACGCTACAAAGATCATTGGAGCCGAGGAAACACTAGCCGTGTTTTAAAAATAAGTATTTATTTATGCATGGCTTCGACCAGTTTATCTTCCATCTTCAGAAGAGTCACGGCGAACCTTCGCAGGAAACTGCGCGCAAGACACTGCGCTCCGCACGGCCGCCACGCGCAGAAACGGCGACACGTCACCCTGCGCTCTAACGTGCGCGGGTCCGATAAGCAGAGGGGTTGGCAGAAGCTCACCGCAAGTCACCCTGCGTCGCGTCACGACCCGCGTCTCATTTTGCGACTAGCCAAAAGTATCGATTTATTAAAAAAGACTAAACGGGATAAAATGTTACAAAAAGGGGCAATTCGCGTTCCTTTAAGGCTTCTTCGGGACGAGACTAGAAGCTAATAAACGGGACAATCCCGCTAAAAAGGAGACTAGGGGATCTGGTCACCCTCTGACATCAGTAACCTAATCTAGGAGTCGCGTCACTGTCTGAATGGTATTGTACCTTTCGTACAATGATTGATGATATAATAAAATAGGCGGCGAAATGAAGGAAACCACTGATGAACAGATCATTAAGGCTCAATTACGATGGATTTTAGAACCTCTGAGCCTTAATAAGGAAGAAATTTCGAATATTAAGATAGGTTAAATATACGAGTACAAGTTGCTTATTTAACACGTTTTCTGAATAGTTTGATTAAAAATACACGTTTCAGATGCGGTTTGCGACCTCTTCACGTACATATACAATAATTCCTGTTCTTAATCTTACGGTGTGAGTTGGGTTTTATATTATTTTAAGTGCACTTGAAAAGGTGTTCTAAACAGCACTTGAAATATCGAGTTGTAGTTTTTAATTAAAACGAACGGTAAATACTCACTAACAACTTTTATATTTACCATCAATACCTCGAGAGATTAAATTTCTTCTTTATCAAGACGATAATTGAGGATGTATACTTTTTGGTACATGTATTGGATGTATTATTGATAGGCATGAGGAAATGGACTTTTATCACGTTTCAAACTTAACACCTTAAGAAAACGAAAACGATTAGAAGAGCCCTCTTTTCTTTCTATTGTCATTGCTATGTGGCACTGGGCTTCTCTCTGCGTCCATCCGCAGGAGTCTTTCGTCTCACCGCTCGTGCGCGCCAAAGTCCTGTCATCATTTAGGATGAATGTGACTAATCAACTCTCAAACAGATTCGCTTAATCTGCACTCTGCAGGCAATGTTCAATGACAAAATGTCATTTCGTCAATTTTTGACACTACACATACGTAACATATATACAAACTACACCATGCTTAAGGTTCGAATAAAATTAGAATATAGTTGACGTAACGACGCCAGCGCCGAAACCTAGGGAACAGCGAATCAGAAGCTTCAGCATTTGCACATTGTTGTTCCCTTAAATTAGGGAACAAATGTTACGAACAAACATGTTACGAGTTTCTCAACAATCCTTTCTTCTATTTGCCTAGTGGCCATCCTTTACCAAAGACCGTGATACTTGATTTGGCAACACTGCCAATCTTCCAAGCAGGGGTCCTATTCCGGTCACAATGTTCCATGCTTTCCACTTTCTTCCCGTAATAAGAGTGAATTTTCCTAAACATTGTCCTAAATGACATACCATTAATTATTTCATAATTAACTGTGAACTGTCAGGTATTAGATAAATATTATATTGAAGAAATTACCGTTTTTAAACAGCATTAGTAGACTTTGAAAATAAGGTTGGGAGATTAATCAATGGAAAAATGAGAAACATATCAAGGGAGATTTTTATTGCAGACCATATAGTAAAATCTAAGACGGAATTGATCGGGACACAAAACGCTATAGGGAGGTTTCCGTTTTAGGCAAGCTTGTCCATTTTATGACACTTGTGATATTGACGTTTCTTCCCAGAAAGTAGTAAATTACCTGACGATCGATGGACGAATATCAATTTGAAGAAAATTGTTCAAGGCGCTAGCGTTGATTGGAGATGGACAGACGTTTTGCCAATAACCAGGTTTTCGGACTCACAAAACTGAATTCTGGTGTGTATAGGAAGTAATTTACTACAATTAGGAAGAAGATTATCGACTTCTTCGCTCCAGCCCCCCCCCCAATATGAGTTTTTCGGTCAAAATTCGCCGATTTTTGCCGTACTAATTCAGTACTTTCTCTTGACTAGGTAATTATGTAGTAGAATGACAAAGTAAAAATAGTGCTACACTTTGACACAACAGTTCGGATGGCTTATTCCCCCAAATAAACGAACCTCTTACAGCAAGGACAAAGCAACAAGAGTTCACATATAACTCAAAGACACCAAGCTTAAAACTCTTTCAAC